CATTTTCTCTTTTTTTTTTACTTGAACTCCCAATCTGTGACATCATGACCTGAGCCAAAACCAAGAGTCAGATGCTTAACTGATTGAGCCACCCAGGCACAACCTCTATCATTTTTTCTTAAAGGCCCTCAAGTGTGAACCAAGCCTGATACACTCATTAAACGTTAGCTGATACTATTACTCTAACCATCTTTCAGGAACTGACATCCAGAGATACAGTCAAGTACACAGGAGAGATGCTTAAAGGCACAAGGCATTCCCAAATAGACCAGGCAGTTCCATGATGGCCTGGGGACTCCAAACACACTCTATGGAGGCCAGACCGCAAGCTCCATGAGGGCAGGGAACGGGACTATTATTCTGTGTCCGAGACTGTCCTCAGGGTCGAGCCAGTGGCTGACACACAGTGTAGACCATGAATCAAGGACAGATGTTAGACCACTACATAGCCCATTGCTGATGGTCCAGATCGGGGATTCCCACCCTCCTCTGCTCCACTCAGTACCTGAGACCTTAGGGGCCCCTTTGGCCTCTCCTCACCTGGAGGCAGCCAGGATGAACAATCTCGTTGCAGATACAGCATTCCATAAGTTTCTTCTCGAAGTCCTGTGTCTCCTCATTTTGATCCACCTCTCCACAGAGGGAACATGTGACTGAGTGAGGCAGTCTGGGCTACAAGAGGACAAAGACAGAAACCAAGAAAAGAGCAGACTTAGATCCTTATCGGTTTAGCTTCCCTTTAACTGAAGACGAGTGATTTGCTTCCTCTAATTCTCCTGGGAACACTTAGGGACCAAGGAAACCAGGTGGAGAAGAGAGGTTTCTGGTAGGAAAACTAGATGAGAAAGAGGATAGGGAGAGTGAACCAGCTGAGAACTAGAGACTGACAGAGACCAGTTTATTTTCACCAGTCTATCCCAGGCCTCCCAGGTCCTTCCTTTCTAATCCAGTTAAAGAGGGGACAAGAAGCAGTGATTTGCCCTTGAAACACTGCTCCCTCATTTGAAAACTGGGCGAGCAAGGCTGAAAGGTTAAACGGGATCATTTTTAGTGTGAGGTATCTTCCTTCTGAACTCAGAGAGAAATGGGGCAAAACAAAGCAAGCCAGAGAGAGAGAGTAACTTCTCCTCTCCATCTCTGAAGGCTCTACCACCCTCTACTACCTGCATTTCAGTCCTTTTGGCACCACCACCCCTCCCCCAAGCTCTGTATCCAGCAGACCACTTACTGCCAAGCACTGCCGAAGGACACACGACTGCTTCATGCGACCAGGCCCCCCGAACTTCTTCATGTCCCTGCAGTAGTGGCAGACACCACACTCTCCTTGCACACAGGCTTTGCATTTTCGACAGCGCACTCGTCTCCGCCGGGCTCCTGACACTATGGGGGAGGCAGCAGCTGGCCTCACAGGTGTTAACCGAGGAGCTGGTTTCATAGTGTGAGGCTTTGTGATGGGGATGGTAGGAACCCGCACCTTTGGCCGGGTGGGGAATTTAAGCTAGAAAGAGAAAGCGGTGAGGTCAAATGTATCAAGTAGCTTTAAGGGCTGGAGGGGGTAGAAGATCACAAGGCTTGGCAAACTATGGCCCGTGGGCAAATCTGCCCACTGCCTGTTTGTACATGAAATTTGACTGGAGTACCATGATGTTCATTTGTTTTCTGTCTGGTCTATGGCTGCTTTCACTTGCAGTGACAGAGTGGAGAAGTTGCCGACAGAGACCGCGTGGCCTGCGAAACCTAAAACATTTATTGATTTTACTCTACTTATCACCTACGTATTACCTTCAAAGACAAGGTTTGCCAGTCCCTTCAGGCTACTTCAGTCACGTCCCTCTCACTCTGCTGAGCTGTGAGATTCACCCCTCCCTGAGGCTTTCTATGTACCAAATGTCATTCCAGGGACCCTCCAATATTTCCCTATCCTGGGTATTACTACTCAGAAGATGATAAACTACTTGAGGGCGAGATGAATCTTGCTCATTTCTTTATTACTCTGAGTCTGGTACATAACAGACACTCCAGTAAAATACATCCCTCAGGTATATGTTTATAATTTTAGTGCTTGTATTTGTCCAGCTGGTGATCTTTTCAAGAACAAGGACTGGGTCTTTCAGTTTTTTCCGCGGTGCCTCAAACATGTTCCTGACACAAAACACTGAACAGCCAGAGATGCCTAAACTGTTCTGAGGCAGTCTCATGTGGTCAAGCCCAGGCCAAGTGGGACTCCTCCACCCCGGTAGTAAGAAGTGGTTCTTTAAGACATCTTTCACAGCTATTCACCTAAACACTCCTGGAATGTGATGGCTCTGCAAATTTCAACCGGGGAACACCAAAGAAGGGCCTATGTATTTGCCAGACCCATGGGCAGGATCAGAATGCTAGCCCTTACATTTATTTGATAAATAACCTTGACAAAGGACAATATGGGAAAAATTACACAGGACCTAACTGAAGAGGCATGAAAATTCATACCTGACAACTTATTAACTTACAGGTGATTCCTTTCCTTCTCTTTTTGATACTGAAAAATCCAAATGAAGGGGACTCTTGAGTGTACACTCAGGCCATCATAGAAATACTCCAGCCATTTGAATATGTATGTAATTATTTTAACTAGTTTTAAAAAATATCTGAAAATGACCGAATCACTGGGCCAGAAGGCTAGGAACTGATCCATTCTGGTGAACAAATGCACACTTTTGCATCCAAACCTGGAGGCAGGTTTCTGGTTTGATAGTTCCGTTAACAGAGTCACCTCTAAAGATAGCCAATTACCCTGACCTAAGAGTTAAAACAGAACTGAGTAATGATTTTCTGTCAGTTCATATTAATGCACCAAAAGCTGTCTGCCTCTAGTTGTTCTTTTTCTTCCCGGAATGGTGACGGTCGGCTAGCAAAATGCTTCAGCAGCCTGAAGATAAGAACAATAGTTTCTTACCTTATCCCTTTTTGGCCACTGTACTATAGGGACTCCAGTGAGGGCTAACTTGGGATCGCTGTTGGCAAGCTCCTCCAGCAAAATCTAAGGGCAGAATAGGATAGAAGAGGGGGGAAGAAAAGCAGGACACAGTGAACAAAGAGCCAACCACTCCCAACAGCATCCAGACTTAGCCTCAGTCCCCACAAGCGACATGGGAAGGGCAGGCTGGCAGCTGTGTTTTCCCTTCATTTAGAGACTCACTGCCAAACAAATAAATTGAAGATGAAAGAGAAAACTCAAACTACTGTAGTACTATCAAGACTTTGAATTTACCTTTGCTCCCAACCCCGTACCTGCATACTCACTGTACTGTTAATACGTATGCTGAAGTAACTAGCTACGGGGCGACAAGTGTTACTTGGCACACAGTTCTATACATGGCAGTAAAACTTTATATTGCCCCCTTACTTTTCAACACCAGTGATAATTATCAAGAAGTACTGCTTTCATTTTGCAGATCTCAGCAAAGTGGCAAAAAAGACTGGCTAACACTTAATTAATAATATGAACAGAACAACAATCTTAATGTCTTGATTCAACCCAGAGCTCTGTTCTTCTAAGTCTGATTACAGAAATCTCAACTTCAAATTAACCAATCGATTAATCTCTCTCTCTCTCTCACACACACACACACACACTCAATCATTTGGCTTTATTCTGGAATGGAACAGGAACAATTTAGGGGCAACAGTTTTGATGGCTTTAGCCAATCTAGTTTGAATGACTTGAGGACACTGCTACAGTAAGAAACTACCACTTAAGTGAATCATACTGGTTGAGTGTTATTTGGAAGCAAGCCTTTATGTTTTCAACAGAAATTTCTGAATCCTGAACCTTAGAGCAGAAAACGAAATCCCTCTTCCTCTGACCTCATGCGCCCTACAGCAAGGACAACAGCAAAAGAACACAAATCCAGAAGATAAGTTACAAGATTCCTTTCAGGTTGCCCTACTGTGTACAGGGTATTAACTGTTTCAGTGTTTCAGTGAACACTCAACTTTGATCCTGGACAATAAGCATGCCTAGGCCATCTTTAATAATCATTTCCATAATCTTGTGGGTTCTGTGCCTAGAGACCAGGACTTTTTGAAGCATGCGGCACTTCTCTACCAAGGATCATGCTCCAAATTCGAGTTGGGACTCAGAAAGACCCTTTCAAACACCCAGGAAGCTCCTCTACGAAGAACCCCTTTGCCAAGTCTCCAGCTGCCTCTCACCCTCCCCCAAACTGATTTCATTTGCAGACGTTTTATTTACTTCAAGTTGCTATGACATCCTATTCTGAAGTCTCCTGTTTAGCACCGCACAGCGTGGGGGTGAAGAGGCGGGGTGCGGTGCCACGTGGGACTAAGGCTCTGGGACTGGGCTCCGGTTTGGACTCCTAATCTCCCTAGGGTGAAAAATTCAGGTCCATTCAAAACGTGTGCGAGGGAGTGCACAGTTCCCCTCCCCCATGTCTACTGCTGAGGAGCAGGACTCTGCCCATTTCCTCTGCCGCCCCGGAGAGCACTGAGCTGTCCACAAACAGGGACTTTCCACTTTCAGCAAAACAGACCTCACAGAAAGATCCACAATTGTTTAAGAGTAGCAAAAGGAACCTAACCGTTCACCAAAAGAAGTCTAAATCTACCTGCAAGATTTTTTGTGGGGGATAAGGAAAGGTAGGTGGAGAAACTGTGTCTGCGTGGGGGGTGGGGGGCAGCTGTTCACACATATACGACTCTGTTACCGGGGTCTGTGTGGGTGTGGAGGGAAATGCAGATTTCCTTCCAAGCCTTATTTTGTTGGGGCCAGACAACCAAACTCGCCCTGCTTCATCAAAAAAGGCAGACTCCAGCTGAGGCCCTCCAAGAAACCATATAAAGCAGCCACCACCCTTCACCAGAGGGGGTTTGGGACCGGGAGCGGGGGTGGAGTGCGGAAAGGCTGACGCCTATCTAGGCTCCTGGCATTCGGGAGAACATTCAAACACAAGCCCACACCCCACACATCACAGGAAGGGGAAGAGAACAGCGGGCGTCTGGGAAGAGAAGGAAAAAGGATTCCCCAAAGCCAAGAGACCCAATTCAAGAGCACATCCCACCAGGAGAGGGAACAAGTGCAATGACGGCTAGAGCAACACCAAGTAACCTGAGCATTGTCCTGGAGTCCCCTGGTAGGCTGTTCTTCCGCCTCTTCTGCTGAGACAAAGTCCCTACAGTTACACACACCCCGAGCCAGAAAGGGTTTGCCGCCCACCCGCCTGACCTTGCGTTTCTCGTCGCTCTGGAGCTGCTGAAGCTCTTGGTTGAAGTTTCCCCAGCGTCTTTGTTTTGTTTTCTGTATTGGAAGTTGTGCTGAAGGAGTTTAGGTTTTCTGCCTCTAGGAAAATCCTGATTTACTTGAAAATTCTGGAATCTCCCAAAGTACATCAGGCGGGGCAGTCCAGCTATAACCCTTGAGGCTACCCAGAGGGAGCAGCGTGTCGTGCTCTGAGCTCCTTCTCGAGCCCTTCAGCTCAGCCGCGGCTTCCTGTGCCTGCGAACAATGCTGCTGCGTCACCCACATGCAGCTCCCAGAAATGCTTTGCAACGGAAGATGGCAGGAGGGGGAGCTGAGCTCGAGTGAGCGAGCCAGGCAGAGGGCCCAGCCGTCCTGCTGCAGAGTCGGGAGGGGGTGTGCTCAGCCGGCGCTCTCGGCCTGGTGATTGGAGGAAAGGCTGCCCGGGAGGCGAGCCGGGCCGCGCCCCCGCCTGCTCCCTCCCACCACCACTGCAATAGGAGAACCCAAGGCCGGCCCCGGAGGGCTCCCTCTGGCCGACTTCGGAAGGCGCCAGCAAAAGGGAAGGCTTTAACCCGTTCTGCATCTGGGCCCGTGAGTGTCCTTGTCTTCGTCCACACCCTGCCCCTCAGGGTCACCTCTTATTGTTACAGCCAGCACTCTTGCCCACTGACCACTCCCCCCAGTTCTCTCTCCTGCTTTTCAGGTAAACAGCGAGTCACCCGAAGTTCAGCCTGTGCAAGAGCCAGGCACCCAAGCTGAGTTCCTCCAACTTCCCTTCTTTCCCCACACACCCGCTGCTTCACCTGCCCTCACTGCTGCTCTCCCAGCCCAGAATCCAGAATGAGCATACATGTTTCCAGAAAAACCTTCAGGAATGACACATTTCAACCAATACTGAGATATTCAATACATATGTCTGTTTAATATCAACTACTTCGACAACAGATGCCTGCCTCTGGTTACGACTGGGCACTCTACCACCATAACCGAAACGTCTAGGCAGCTCTTCCCGCAGTTCCATCTTGACCAAGTAAAGCCAGCTGAGGTACAACCTGAGGTCAAGGTGCCAAGGTGCTTTATCTCCTGCCTTGGTACCAGCGCAAGGAGCCACTGAATCTGTGTCTGCCAATTCCACATCCACCAGTCTGCTGGGACTCTGCCCCTCAGATTACCCCTCCCCCCAGGACACCAGCACTCCTGCCCATTTCCTATCCTAGTCGTTTGTTTTGCCTGCCACCTTCTTGATGTTCCCTGGATGATGCGGCCAGCCTTGTATCCCGTCAGACATCCCGATGCCATTTGTGGCAGCTACTCGAGTGATGCGTGCCACACACTCTCCACACACTGATTCACGGTCAGGGTGAAGCTCGGACTGAACAAGCAATCTCTCACTACAGTGTACTGTATCTTGGATCTAGATTTATGTAATTTTCAGACTCTCATAAATATAACTTGGCTTTTTTTCAGAAATTACAGGAGCTGCTTTGAAATAAACATCTCAGGCCACTAAGAACCTAGCTCTTACCACTGGAAACCTTTTTATTTCCAGGACAGTTGTGTCAGTGAGTTTCTGATGTAGTCGGTGGCTTAATATGCTTTCTGGGGCTTGGGCTTTGATGCCAGGGAGGGGCTAAATATTTCAATTTTGACGGTAGTTTACCAAGAAAGGTGGGAGTTTTGTGCTTTTTGGTTGAGCTCTCCCTGAAAAAGTTTCTATGGCCATTCTAATCCTAAACCTCTCGTTTGCCCTTTATCTTAAGACTGAAAGACCTTGGGGCGCCTGGGTGGCTCAGTCGGTTGAGCGTCCGACTTCAGCTCAGGTCACGATCTCGCGGTCCGTGAGTTCGAGCCCCGCGTCGGGCTCTGGGCTGATGGCTCAGAGCCTGGAGCCTGCTTCCATTCTGTGTCTCCCCCTCTCTCTGCCCCTCCCCCGTTCATGCTCTGTCTCTCTCTGTCTCAAAAATAAATAAAACGTTAAAAAAAAAAAAAAGACTGAAAGACCAAGTGCAATCAGACTATTAGGTCTGAAACGCTCTCCTTAATAGTGTGAGAGGTCTTCTTAGAAAATCCTGGTTCTTATCTCAGTCCTATCTAACCTGGAGGGGTGATAAAGAATGGAATACTAAAGAGAAACATGTTACCACGCTGCAGCAAGTAAAACCTGAGAGGCCACCAGGAAAGGACAAAAACCAGACGGGGCTTCCAAATCGCTTACTAAATGAGGCCAGCCCCCCCGCCCCCCCCCCATTAATTCAGAATAAAAGACAGGCACCAAAGATCAGAGATGGTAAGAACATGACATTACATAACACAATAATATAATAACACTTTGAAAAATTATTACGCATTTTAACCTAACCTTATATGCCTTGTAGCTATTAAATTATTCAAAACTTTTTTCTTAGGGGGCACCTGGCTGGCTCAGTCGGTGGAGTATGTGACTCTTGATCTTGGGGTCATGAGTTCAAGCCCCATGTTGGGTATAGAGTTTACATTTAAAAAATAAACTGATGAGTAAATAAATATAAAACTTTCCACTTAGAATGTGTCGATTAGATTTCAAATGAAGTTTTATTGATACAGGTTGCCTTTCCCCCCTCTAATCTAGTTTAATGGATTAAGATCTAATTATAGTGGATCCTCTACCAGTTCTTCTCTTTAACTAGTGCCAGAGTCACCCCCAAAGTGTCAGATGAAGCAAATTTGTCATTAGTGTCTGTATCTACCTGAAACCATGACTGTGCTTTTGGTTCCATCATACTCCTGAGAGAGAGCCGAGT